TAGGCTACAATTGCATTCGAAATGATCGCCAAGATAGCCGTGGTGGGGGCAGCTGCGTCTACGTTAAGCAAACACTTACATGTTTGCCGTTGGACCTCCCGCACTTTTCAGCGGTAGAAGGCAGCTGCTGGCTCCAGGTTGCACTAAAAAATAAGTTCTCCTTACTCGTTGGCTGCGTCTATCGCCCTCCCAACGCCAATGCCAATTTTGATCGCTTACTCTCACAGGCATTTCATGCTGCGGTCGACTAAAGTTTTAAGTATCAACTGGTTGCGGGTGACTTTAATCTCCCTGAAGTCCGCTGGTCTCCGCCTTCAGGCCCCAGAAGGTTCGATGACTTTCTTGAGGCTGTGGATGTCGGGATGTGGACTCAGGTTGCTGATTTTCCCACCCGAGGCTCAAGTATACTTGACTTAATTTTCTGTAGAGGCTGCTTGCCATCGTCAGTGTCATCCCTAGGCCCACTCGGGGGCTCAGACCATGACATAGTTATTTCAACGTTGGAATTCGAGGCTGACGAAATGTCGTCCCAAAAGTATAACTTTCTCCGGGATTTCCGATCAACTCGCTCAACCGAATTATTAACACACCTTAATTCCTACGACTGGACTGAGTTCTTCCTTAGTTCGGATGTAAATGTTTGCACTGCAAAACTGTACGAAATTTTGGGTCCGCTTATTTCCCGTTTTGTCCTCCGTAAGAAAATTATTAATGTTGGGGATGAGATTTTCCTACCTTTACCCTTTCGTCGCAGATTGCGCAGGCTTTATCGTCGTTTCCATCTGCAGAACGATGTTCCTGTTCTGCCCTTGATTTGTGACATTTTTGATCGAGCTAAGAGATTGTCTGAAGAAAAACAGCTAGCCGAAGTGGTCCACTTTACTGAAAAACGTTCGTTAAGTGTCTCGAAACTTTTCTCTAGAAAAATACGAACTCAGAGAAAGACGCAGTATCCCATCCTTCGAGACGATCTCGGAAATCCCATAGTTGATGCCCAGTTTACCGCTGATAGCTTCAATGATTTCCTGTCCAAAACGTTTATTGAAGACTCGACCACTCCGCTTCCGAACATCCAGTCATTGACCGGGGCAGTTCTAGAAACTATAACTTTCACTCTGTGGGATGTGACTGTTGCGATTCGGTGTTTTCGTCAATCTTATAGTCCAGGCCCTGATGGTGTCCCAGTAAGCATTTTAAAAGCCGATGCAAACACGATCTTCCCATCCCTCTTATGCAAGATATTTAATCTTGCTCTTGAATGTGAAACTTACCCTACCTTGTGGAAGGAATCACACATTTTGCCCATTCCTAAGCACGACAAATCTACATCATTTGATGACTTTCGGCCAATAAACACCCTCCCTGCAGTTTCGAAGATCTTAGAGACATTGATCAAGGATAAGATGATGTGTCACTTAACAGCGAACAACTTACTGAGTGTTGCTCAGCATGGATTCCTCAAAGCTCGATCTTGTGACACCTGTCAACTCTCTTTCTTTGACTATGTTTTCCAATCTAGGGTCCATGGTTTTGCTCTTTACACAGTATATTTCGATTTCACTAAGGCTTTTGACCGTGTTGAGCATGCTCTTCTCCTCTTTAAATTGTCCTCTTTCGGAATAGGTGGCAAACTTTTGAATTTTATATCCTCTTATCGCGTTCATCATCTCCCGAAGAAGACGAAGAAGTAGAGAGGGCGAATTCATGGACCATATTGTATTCGAACTGACTTTTCGGAAACTTCCTCGTTTCCATCATCAGAGTAGCGTAATTGTTGCACTTGCCGGTCTTGAG